GCTTCCAAAACCTCAATGAGCTATGTAGGATGGATGGGCAAACGTTTTGAGCCAGTCCTTATTTAGAAGTGACCCAAAAAAACCCACGCCAATGTCCCACGCATCAAATTTATGCTTAAAGGAAACAACTGGGGAGTTGAATTTTTACTTCGATGATTAAAAATCTGCTCTCCCTCAAACTTATGCCAACCTCCTGCCCACCCCTGTTTAAGGAGCTCGACTATGTAATTCACGTGGTCACTCTGCCAATCACAACATCTTCACTGGCAGGGAAAATGTCACTGCCTGTAAACATTGATATACATGCATTCCTTTTTAGTTTTTTAAAAAACAGAAGTGGAAACAAAATTGAAAATCAGACAAGAACTCTGATACGATTTTTTTCTCCCACAGAAATGCTAAAAAGTGAACCACGGGGTTCTTTACTCCACCATGTTCTAACTCCTTCTGATGATTGGAGTTTTCCCTTTTTTTGTTTTTTTTTTTAACAAATTGGATTTTTTCTTCTCACAAAACATTACATGTTTATAAAGAAAATACAGGAAACACAGATGAGCCAAAAAAATATTTGAGAAAAGAACATAATCCCACAATGCAGCATCAACATTTTGGTATAATCCTTCCAGTTGTTTTGTAATATCTATAACATAATCAATTTATTTTTCTAAACATGAGCTACTATAATACTGTTTTGGAACCTTATATTTTCATTTATCGATAATATATTTTCTATGCCATTAATATTCTTCGACCACATTATTTTTAATAGCTGCAAAGTATTCCTCTGAATAAATGTACCATAATTTATTTAACACTACTTTGGACATTTTGGTCGTTTCCAATTTTTCAAAATTAAAACAATTACAAACAATGCTGCCTGGTCATCTATGTACACACATTTTGAGCAACATTCACGATCATTCTTAAAGTCTATTTCCTGTAACTTAAATTGGATTAAAGAGAACACGCATCTTAAAGTCTTTTGATATATGTTGCTAACTGCCCTCTAGTTCACCCCAGCAGTTTACAAGAATGCCTGCTGCTCCACAGTCTTGCCAACAGTGAGCTGTATCACATTTAAAATTTGCTAAAATGGTCCCAAAATAGCGCTTGCTTTAATTTTGCACTGATTTAACTATGTGGGAGGTTGAGTGTTTCCCCTATTAATTGCTCATTTGTATTTCTACCTTGGTAATAAGTCAAGATTTAATAAGCTTTTTCTAGCCGCAACTTCCTGTTTCTTGGAGACTGTAAATGTCTCTCAAGGGTAGGCAACATCTTTGGGCAAGAAGCATAATCAGTTATTTGCTTTGTGGGAGTTTAGTTTTCTCAAACAAACACTGCTTCAGTCTAAAGGGAACAGGTTAGGACTAAACCCATAATAATTCAATCTCATGATGATAAATGTTAAGGGCATAAATCAGAGACCTTAGAAGAGGGGAGAATGGAGAGCCCTGTTGAACTCGCCTTGTGGTTTGGAGGAACTCTCCTAAGACAGAGAGTCTGAATAAGATGAATACAGCCACCGCACCCCCTTACCCCAGCCTCATCCCCCCTAACTTGTGAAGGTTAGCTTCTAGGCGGATCAGCCCCAAGTGAGTGAGGCTGGACCAGGGGTGGCGTCGGGAAAAGCACTCGGTTTCAGAGTTCAACAAATCCCGTGGGATAGTACACAAAGCCTGGGCTTTGACTCCCGTGGCCCCTGGGGGTTGAACCAGTTCTACAGTTACCCTATGAACTTAGGAAGTCGCTTAACCTCTGGGAACCTCAGGCTTTCCTGTTTGTGAAATGGGATAACAGCATCCACTGGACAAGATCCACAAGATGGTTGTAAGAATGATTGAGAGGTAAAGCACCTAGCTCAGGAGTTAGCGCACAGTAGGTTTTCAATAAACATAGTTATGATAAGGGTTAAGCCAATCATTCCACAAATATTTATTGAGTGCCATTTAAGTATCAGGCACTGCCCCAGGCACTCGAGAATTACAACAGACAATAAACAACAGATAAGCCAATTATATAGCTATAGAAGGTGATAAGAATATGGATAAATGTAGAGCAGGTAAGGGCGATGGGAGTGCAGAACAGTGACCTTGGAGCAAATACTTGAAGGAAGAGAGTGAATAAGCTTGGTGTCTGGGAGAGGGAACAGCTGCAGAAATGCCCCAAGGTAGGCCTGAGTCTGGCCAGTGTGGTTGAGCAGAGTGAGCAAGGGGGGAGTGAGTTGGGGGGAGCACAGCGGTAGAGGGCCCCGTGGACCATTGTGGGGTGGATCCTAGCCCCTGTCCCTGCCTACGTGTTGGTTTCTGGGCATAAATAGACGCAACTTTGGCCCTTGAAGGAGCCTAGAGTCCAGTCTAGAGGGACGCTGGGCAGTTCAGGGAAAACCGCCCCTTGGGCTCTCCCAGAAGGTTTAGCCTCATCCTCCCGGGTCAGCCTAATAAAGGCTCAAGCTGGCTGGAGTCTTTGGAGTCCTTCTGTCACCTGCGGAAGAGGCAAACCTTCTGGTGAGTCTTGGAAAAGCCTCCCAGAGGCCACCCCTCTGCTCTCCCTGTCTCATATCTGCAACAGGGTTCAACCCTAGGAGAGAATGTTCTGGAGCCACCCTTGCTTATCTTGCTCTCAGGGAAGTGTTTCCTCAGTGCTTTCACCTTCCTGAACTACCCTCAAGTATAAACAACATCTAGTTGTGAAGAAAGGTGCTGAGACATCCTCTGACACATGCTCTCTGAGATATCCTGGCAGGCCCATCCCAGACTCTCACAACCTTAGAGCATCCGAGAAGCAGAGGGCCTGGGCCTTAGCAGTCAGAAATTCATTCGGTTCTGCTACAACCATCTGTGTGACCCAGGGTAGGTGGCGGCACTCAGCAGGGAGTTGGGAGGGTCCCACAAGAGGACTTGTGTGAACTGCATTTGCGTTTGAGAGCCAAATCCTGGTCCTTGACCAATGTGGACACACAGACCTGTTTGAGAACTGGATGAAAACATGAACCTTCTTCCCAGGAAAGTGCACAGAGGCACATGACACAACATTTTGGATACCGTTCCAGAGAACTCCAGGGGCTACTTAATGCACAATCATGGTATTCAGACCAGTGCTGTACAACAGAGACATAATATGAGCCAAAGATGTAATTTAGAATTCTCCAGTAGCCACATCAAAAAAAAAGAAATAGGTGAAATTAATTTTAATAGTGTTTTTTATTAATGTAATATATCCAAAATAATATCATTTCAAGATATATCAATATAAAAATTATTAATGAGACATTTTACATTTTTTTCATACTTAAGTCTTCAAAATCCAGTGTGTATTTTGTCATTCCAGAACATCTCAATTCAGACTAGCCATATTTCAGGTGCTCAGTAGCCACATGCGAATGATGACTACTATATTGGACAGCACAGCCCAGACTGTTAAAAACTCCTTAACAGATGACGTACTTGACTCAAGTTTGAAATTGCAGGGGCTCAACCAGTGTTTCTCAAACTTCACTGTGCATATGAATCTCCCGGGGCTCCTGTTAAATCGCAAATTCTGACCCAGTAGGTCTGGGATGGGACCAGAGATTCTGCATTTCTGACAAGCTCCCAGAGGATGTCAATGCTCCTGGGCTCCACATTTTGAGTAGTGAAGGTGTACAGCAGTGGTTTTGATGGAGGCAGGACCACCCACGGGAGCCAGTGAAGGGATGGAGGGGAACTGCTACATTTAGTGGATTGAGTCAAGGATATTAGCTAACCTTCAACGCATGGATCTGGCTGCTTCCGCCACGACTTTTGAATGTTCCACTGCGCATTCATGTAAATGAGGGGGAAATTTATCATTTTCTGAAGTAAGCACCATTTTCCATAAAAACACAACCACCCCAAGGCACAGAGAGGATAAAGGACTTGCTCTGGGTCTTACTCCTTGCCACTAAAGGAGCTGAAATGTGAACCAAGAAGTTGGTTTCTAGAGGCTGAGTTCTTAACCACTATATTACACCACAGAATGTGTGCATTCATTTGATTCTCAAAGTAATTCAGTGAAATAAAAATAACTTCGATACTTATTTTCTTGATGAGGACTCCAAAGTTTAGAGAGTTTTTGTGATGGTTTAAGATCATTTAATTAGTTAAAGAGCTATGACTGTGATTGAGGCCTCAGGACCCCTCATCCAAGGCTCTATCTATTGTGCAATATATCACAACTTTAGGCATGAAGTATTCATTTAATGTTTTTGAATAAACAAATGCATGAACAAAAATGTCTGCCTATAAACAGGGACTACACTCAAAACATCACAAAGTCATCTTGAGAAAGAGGAGCAAAGTTGGAGGCCTTAAACTACCCAACTTCAAGACTTCCCACAAAGCTACAGTAACCAAGACAGTGTGCTTTTGGCATAAGGATGGACAAAGAGATCAGCGGAGCAGAATAGAGAACCCAGGAAAAAATCCACTTATACAGTCATTTGATTTTCAACAAAGACACTAAAGTCAATGGAAAAATGAGTGGTTTTTTTTAACAAATGGTACTGGAATAACTGTGTATCCGTAGGGGAAAAGAATGCACCTCAACCTCTACCTTACACCATTCACAAAAATTAATGAGCTGAAGCATACACCTGCCTATAAAAGTTAAACTTTTTTAAGCTTCTGGAAAGAAACATAGAATATCTTCATGACTTGTGGGTAGACAGAGAAATAAGCATGAAAGAAAAATTTGATAAATGAGACTTCATCAAAACTTCTCACCCAAAGACACCATTATTTATTATCAATTACTCTCTGTATGTATGGAAATGTTCACAACAACACGTTGTAAAAAAGAAAAACCACCATCAAAGAATAGCAAGGCTTTACCAGCTCCCAACCTAAGTAAAATATTACCTCCAAGCTCTACTGTCATGCTCCCACAAGTCAACAGTTCACTCCTACCTTTGCCTACCAATCCAATTGGACATCATGATAACAACCCCCCATCATGTGTCAAGGGTATTACACAAGACTCACATGTCTCAAGCCTCCTGAAAATAAAGTGTTGGGTGGTGGACTGGACGAGAGATCCTCTTGCTTCAAAACAGGGTTAGTAGGGCATTTGGGACTCTCTTGATTGAGAGGTTTCAGAATATCTGGTGCTCTGACCTTCTGAAAAAAGAAACACAGAATTAATATTATAGTCTGCAGCCCAAAGTTACTGTGATGACTTCAGTAAGCACAGCCTACATCTACTACCTGATGTCACTAATATGCAAACTTCCGGGGGCTAAGAGGACACACTTCCATTTGGATAAATGCATACACACACACCCGTGGGGCCCCGAGGCAGACATCATCGAGCTTTGGGGTATTTATGAACAGTGATGGGTGGGTTACTTATGGATTAGTACAAATCTTAAAGAAACTGAAGTCCACATTTTGGCCTTAATAATGATCCTGGCATTTAATCACATGAAATATAGTATTCACTCTGATAGGCAAAGTTTTAGCTCTAATGTGCTTATAAAAAAGATGAAAATCAAAATATGTCTTTAAATTTTATAAAAATATTTTGTTAATAGTTCGCACTTCTTCTATAATGTACATAGCTGTGTGTTCCAAAATGGTAGCCGTTAGCCACATATGGCTATTTAAATTCCAATTAATTAAAATCAAATAAAATTAATAAATTCAGTTCCTCAGTTGCACTAGACACATTCCAAGCGCTCAGTAGCCACACGTGGCAGTGGCTAGAAAATTTTATTGGACAGTGCTAGTACAGAGCAATAAACACTACGCACAAGCTGGGAAAACCTCTTCCTGGTGGAAAATACAAAGTTTCTGAATTGAGACTTTAGGTTTTGATGCTAGGTTGGAAGCAGAACTTGGAAATAGAAGAGTTGCACCATAGTCATAATTTTCACAAGTGAGAATATTAGAGAACAAATGAAACAAATGATTATCTCCAAAGTATTGTTTATGCTCAATCCCCAGAATGTCAACTCAGTTCTACTAGATATTTGTTAAGCAACACTGTATTCAATCCACCACTCTTAAGTCCTAAGGAAGAGGAGGGGAAGAGAGAGGGAGAGAGAAGGGAAAGGAGGAGAAGATACAAAGTCTGTTCTCCAAGGGCTCACTAGCTGGCAGGAAATAGACACACCATTAAAATGGAGCCATGAGCCAAGTCAATGGGAAAGAGGAGAGGGAGGGCTTATGTAGGAGGGGGCTTCTGGGATGATCTTCAGTGGAAGTATGACCTGAGTGGAGTGTTGAAGGCTGGCTGGGGAAAGACCCAAGGTAAGGCATCCCAAGTACAGAGTATTTTCCCAGACTTGCTAGAGACCGATGCAACCTCAGAGACTCAAGAGGCCAGGCAGGGAGCTGACATGAGATCATGTGCACACAGTGATGAGTGAGGTTGTCCAGGGAACAAGTGGCTTGGGGATGAGATAGAAGGCTGGAGGAGCCAGAGATCCAAGGGGGGGATTTCAGGAATGAAGGGTGTTCAAAAAGGAGAAAAGAGTATGAGAAAAGGCTCACCTGAAATTAAAGAAATGCCAATTTTTTAAATTGCCAAATTAGCAAATATTAGAATAAGAGGTATGAATTTTAGTGTTGGCTGGAGTGCCAGAAAAAGGGCTACTCCCCTTCTAGTGGTCGTGTAAACTGAGTCAGCCTCAGAGGAGGGCAATTTGACAGCATGAATTAAAAGCCCTAAAAAGTACCTGTTAAAAATGACAATATGTATTTATTGACATGGAAAGAATTAAAACATAATGTTAGATTATCTTTAAAAAGCAAATTATGAGACTGAATGTTGTTTTTTGTAAAATGTACACATGTAGTCCAACTGGCTGTCTCCAGGGTCTGTGTTTTCTAAATTTTATTTAGCGAACAGGCATGGATTTTATTATATAGAAAAGCAATAAAAGTCATTCTTTTTAATTAAAGAAAAGAATGGAATTCTGGTCAACTGAGTCAAATGCGACAAAATGGGTGAAGAGGATGACGATTGCAAATCAGCCACCTGGCTCATCCATCGGGGGGGTTCCTGGGGGCTTCACCCGGGTAAGGGGGGGACTGCAGGCTGCAAGGAAGTTAGGAAGGAACAGGAGGGAGGGCAGAGGGGAGGAAAAGAACAGCGACGGCGAGAGCTGGTGACGTTTTCGTGAACTTTGCTCGTGATGAAGAAATGGAAGAGAAGCTTGATGGGGAACCCTTCAAAAGATGTGGCTGTTTTATGTTTTAAGGTGTGGAAGAGCGGGGCATGTTTGTAGGTTGAGAAGAAATGGGCAGAGAGGGGAAAAGCTGCCAGCTGATGGAGCAAGTTCCCAGAGGAGGGTGAAGAGGAAGGAGACCCACTGCCCAGAGGAGGGCACCGCCTTGGGAAGGAACGTCCCTTTCTGAGGCAGGAGGAAAGGACGGCTAAGAATCCAGAGAAACTCAGGTGGGAGGAAGATGTCAGAGGGCTCTCCTTCCGCAAGGCCTCCATCTTCTGAGCAGGTCGGGGAGAGGTCTTGGGGAATATGGAAGATTCCATTTGGAACAGCGTATAAGGAAATTGATAAGTAGTCAGACTGGGATAGAAAGAATAAAACAGAGCTAAATATTAATATAAAGCTTTGTACCGCCTAAGTCTTCGATACATAACCATTTAATTCGGTCTTCTTTAAAGGAACATAGTTTTTGAATCATAAAAAAAACTGATGACAGAAAATTCTGAAAAGGAACAAACAACTATCTTTATAATAGCAATCACGTGGCAGGTCGAATTCAAAGCCAGGAAAGACTATGCTTCTAAATACATCAGGATACTGGAAAACCTTTAATGAAGCTTAAAGCAAATACAAATATTTTGAAATTATTAGAAAAGTCGATACTCTTCTGAAGCACATGCCTATTTTGACTGACTAAGGAATCTAACTTGAAATCTTGTGTTCAGCTCTTCCCCAGTAGTTTCTGAAGGACTGGATGACTGTCAGATTCAGTGCCCTATTAAAGGGCCTCAAGATCTAAATAGCAGCTTACTGACGTCGTTGAGACAGGCTTTTATTTCCCTGTGATTTTTAATGTATTTCAATAACTATCTAGTTTGGGCCAGATTATAGAGAAAAATGAATGCCCTGAATGAAGTCTACTCTGCAGAGAGTTATTAAGTTTAATATTATATAAGTTTAATAATATTTGATCAAATCATGGACTCTCTCGATCCACGCAACATGTGGGTTTGAGATTTTTCTGATCTTAGACAAGAGAAGGAAAGGCCATCGTTGCCGCCTCTGACACTGCATCTGAGGGTTGCCTTTTAACATAAACACTCACTTGGGTATCAGAAAAATACCCAGGCTGGGCTTGGCCAGTAATACATGCTCTGAGCCATGTTAGAGCCCACCTGAAGAGTAGACCACCTCTCCTGGGACCACGGGAAGGATCAACTGCCCTGGTATCCGAGGATCAAGTGTTTTAACAGTTGAAACCCAGTGCTGCTGCCTCTCTCTTCTCTTGCTGCTCAGACTTTGAGGTGTGGCCAGCAGGTGGGGAAAGAGAAGATGGGCAGGGAGCACCAGGCCCGGAGGTGGCTTGTTTCTTTAGATTTCAGGTCTACATGGGAAAACTCGACATAATACAAAAGGGTATACGATAAAGTCTTCTTCTCCACCTCTGTCCTCGGTCCCTCTCCTCAGACATAGCCCCTCCTAATAGCTTTTGTTTTTTTGAAAGATTTTTTTTTTTAATCTTTCTTTTTTTTTTTTTTTTTGTGAGGAAGATCAGCCCTGAGCTAACATCTGCCAATCCTCCTCTTTTTGCTGAGGAAGACTGGCCTTGGGCTAACATCCATGCCCATCTTCCTCTATTTTATATGGGACGCCGCCACAGCATGGCTTGACAAGCGGTGCGTCAGTGCACACCTGGGATCCAGTGCGCGCCCGGGATCCGAACTGGCAAACCCCGGGCCGCCGCAGCGGAGGGCGCGCACTTAACCACTTGCGCCACCGGGCTCGCCACCCCCTCCTAACAACTTTTTATGCTTCCTTCCTGGTTAACAGGTGCATGTCTTTATGGCCAATATGGATCAAGGACACACTAATAAGATGTACAACAAAATCCCACTGGAGTGTACATGAAATCTCAAAGGAGAAGAAGAATTCACTTCTTGAAGAATCCTGGCTCAGATGCTTAAGTGACAGTCTTTGCAGAAGCATTTTCAGAATATGTAACTTCAACTTAATGGAGGAGTGACATGGAAGCAATCCTGAACTGTCTTCTCAGTTAACATCCTGGAGTCACCATATGGCTTTAAGAAACTTATCTACTATTCTGTGCCTCAGTGTAGCCACCCGCAAAGTGGGCACCGACATCCCCTACTTCCAAGGGGCACCATGTTGTGTGCTTAATATTGGCAAATGCTCTAAGTGTTCCAATGAAAATGCGAGTGTGATTTTTGTGAGCTCACCAGCTAAGGCAGGTGTAACTGCAGTCTGCAAATGTCCTGTTTAAAGATGTACTGTTTATATTTCAACCCATAATTATTCAGCATTTATAGATCATCCCATGATTGCTGAGTACTTTATAAACATTTGTCCTTAAGACAGCCACGTCCTCAAGTAAGGTGGGGAGAGAGGAGAAAGAATGCCTGCAAAAAGTTGTAAGCATGTCCTGACAAGAGCGTGGCAGTGAAGTGGACGCACAGGTGATAGAGTGTCTACACGATGGGGACGCTCTAGCCGTGGCCTCCCCTGCTCCTCCTCACTTCTACCCTGGAGCTCCCTTGTCCCATCAGACAACCTTGCGATCGTCCGGCAGGCTCGTTGCATGTGCGCATGCAGCAGGGCCAGGTAAGTGCCATGGATGCCGCGTTATGTCAGCTTCTGAATGCCAAAAGCTAAGCCTGCGGGTATTTGGGATGCTCCAGCACAGGGCACATGACATCAGAAGTGGGAAATGTGCCAGTCTCTAACTTTGCTGGCACATCTCCTAGTATCATTACAGGTGTGGTCTCTGGAGCAGGTTCTACCTACCTGGCCCTGCCACTTCTGACCACATTACCCCCTCGGTCATCTCTTTGCTGCAGTGTCATCTTTAATGGAGACAGTAATAGTATAGACCTCACAGGGCTGTTCTGAGGATGAAAAAGTTACATGCCTCTAAGCGCTTTACACCAAGAACAGTGCCTGGCACGCTGTTAACGCTTAGCCAGTGTTAGCATCAGAGTGGCTTCATCCCACCCGTGTGAGGAAGAGAATTATTTGAGCTTCCAGAACCCCTGTCCTGAACCCTCTTTCTTCAGTGGCCCCCATTTTTCCTCTTTATGTGGGGCATAAAATGAAGAGATTAAAAGTTTAGAATTTACAGGGCCGGCCCCATGGCGTAGTAGGTATAGTTGGCGTGCTCTGCTTCAGCAGCCTGGGTTCGCAGGTTTGGATCCCGGGCGCAGACTTACACCACTCATCAGCCATGCTGTAGCAGCGACCCACATACAAAATAGAGGAAGACTGGCACAGATGTTAGCTCAGGGCTAATATTCCTCAAGCAAAAAGAGAGGAAGATTAGCAACAGATGTTAGCTCAGAGCGAACCTTCCTCACCAAAAAAAAAAAAAATGTTTAGAATTTAGAATCACAGAAACCTGGTTTCTGCCCCTGGCTCCACCTTTTATGAGCCATGTGATATTAGACAAATCAGGTAACCTCTCACTAGAACACAGGTTCTAGATCTTTACTATGGGGATAACAATATCTTTCTCAGGATTTTTGTAAGAATTAAATGTGATAAAGTACATAACAAACTGTGCCATCATGCCCAGAGCATATTGTTTCCTAAATGCACGCTAACCCTCTCCTCCATCTGTCGACTCAGGGATGGCGGTTGGGATGGGGTTTACGTGGACCCTGGGGAGCCGACGGGAACTAACGCTTGCTTGCACTTTAGAGTTTCAAAGACCTTGCAAATACAGTTCACGTTCTCTAGACACCTTGCTCCTCAAGTGAGGTCTGAGGGTCAGCAACATGAGCATCACCTGCTCACCCACGAGCTCCTTAGAAACACATCTGAGATTCTGCATCTCATGCTTGCCCCAGATAGACTGGTTCAGAATCGGCATTTCACCAGCACCCCGAGGGGACTCATGCACATGTTAAAGTGGAGAATCGCTGCTCCAGAGCTCAGCCTCCAAGCCAGACTGCCCACCACTTTCTGGTTATGTAACCCAGGGCATGTGACTTAATCTCTCTTAGCCTCAGTTTCCCTAAATGTAAAATAGGGCCAAATGCAATACCTACTTCATGGGATGGTGTGAGGATAAAATGAAATAGCCCAGGTAAAGCTTTTAGTACAAAGTCGGGTACACAAAAAGAAATGTTGGCAATTTAGATACCATATTTAGATAACTTAAATAGCAATTTAGATACTGTATTATCTCAAGGGATCTTTACAAGCAGCCTGCGCTCTGGACAGAACAGGTATTATTATCTTCATTTCACGGGGGCATAGTGATGCTCAGTGCGTTCACGTGATGTGCCCAGAGTGGCAGGTAGCGGATGGAGGCAGGATTGGAAGTCCCAGCAGGGGAGTGAGGCTAAAGCATAGTCTGTTTGGGGACATCTTGAATAGAGCCCACGGTTGCAGACAAGGGGCGCCTGTCCTGTCCAGCGAACCAGAGCAGTCACATCAACCCTGTAAACAGCCCGTGGTGGCACATGCCATAGCCAGGTCACCTCAGCTGAACTTGAACCCAGGTTTTCTGATCCTGAAGCCGGCTTTCTCTATACCCCAGTGTATCTGCTTCAGGCTTGCTTAATTCTGCTGGAGAGCCAGAGGAATTATTTCCCTAAAAGCTTCAGTTAGGTGAGATCTCTCTCGTGGCTTAGATACCTGGAGAGGGTCTCCCTCGTGACTGCCCACGATCATGCTGCATTTCTGTCTCAGCAGTTCCCCTCAGAGACCAGGACAGGTTTTAAGCAGTGGTCGTTGGAAGTTAGAAGTTGGAGATAGGGAGTAGGAAGGCCTCTCGACTCTCAGCGAGGGTATTCGAAGACCCCAGGAATAACCTGGCGTGTCTGGACCCTGCAGGCGAGCCTTTGCCTTTGCTGTGGCCTTGAAGCTGCAGCGAACTCCTGTGGACACGTGGAAGTCCCACAGCCTAGGAATTAGGCTGAAGCCTTTCCCTGTTCTGAACCGTTTTCCAAATCGACCTTGAATTTTGACCTTCATTTGGCCAGGCCTCCCCATATAAAGGGGTTATAATTATGCTTTCAGACTGCTTAATGTTTTGCTATAAAGTAAAAGGAAAAATAAATCTATAGAGAAAATGGGCTGGAAGGCAATCTTGTGGCGGCCTGGTGGCCTCGGGGAATACCCTGGTGGTGACGTTGATGGCAGTGTCAGACTGGCTCCTTCTCTCCGACTGGCCCGTGCACTGCCTGGGACCCGTGGCTAGCAGTTGCTTGTCAGAAGTCATGTCATTCTGGGACTTCGAGAGCTCTAGAAAACAAATACAAGGGATGACAGGTGGAAGCACACAGCTTTGTGACACTTGGGGGAGCCCTGCTCCAGGATTCCTGCGACCACACGAGCAGGAGCCCCAAGGTCCCACAAGGACAAGACCACACAGGGCAGAGCAGCCAACGCCGAACTCTAGGGCCTGAGGGAGCAGGGACACGGCAGGAGACTGTGTCCACACCACCGGCTGGACACAGGGCACACTGCGCTGTGCACGGGGCAGGAGAGCTGGATTCCTAAAAGGCACCTGCGTGGCCACCAACAGGGCAGGAGACCTCACCCAGGTCACTCTGCATTCCAGGCCACATGTCACGAGTGCACAGTTGTCCAAACAAAGAAGGCAGCCTAACAAACCAGCCAGCTCTTCTGGGTTCCTTACGAAGATTTTATAACTAAACACCATTTCTTGAGGTGAAAGCAAGAGTTGGGATATCCTTGTAACTATCTTAGTTAGCAAACCCTGAAAAGCTGACTTTAAATTTTTTCGTTTTTGCCGTATAACTGTGGTCTAGAATAAAGACAAAGAAGGTGAGAAGGAAGCCACCCACACACAGAAATGAGAGAACCAGCTCAAAGACGATTTTGTCCTCCAAAAACGCCTGCCTTTTCCCAGGAGATCCTTGTCTGTCTCAAGTGTGGACCTCAACACTATCTTTAGATCAGAGCTGTCCAGTAGAGACATGGGAGGACGCAGCTTAGGGGTTTCAGTCGACCTTGGTGGCTGAGAAGGCATGCCGCTTTGCTCTTGAAGTCCCCTCCAGGGTCGGCTCTGGCTGTCCACCTGGGTCTGGGGCTCTATCATGACATCACGATCATAGCACTCGGGTATTAAATTGGCAAGTCTCAAACGTGTGAGCATATGTACAGGGAGGCTATGGGCTGTAAATATGCCCAAGTGTACCAGGTGGGCATGTAAGCAGGTGAGTGTGAGGTGGGACAAGACGAAACGTGCGTCCTGCCTCTCTGGGAGCCTGGCTGAGGGATTATAAGGTCAGAGTTAACTCCGAGGCGTGATTCCAGGGTGGCAGTGGTGGGAGGGAATTCACATAAGCCACATGAATCTGGATGGAGGCTGTGCATCTAGAAAGAGACGCAGAGAAGCTCCCACAAGAAGCATCAGTGGGAAAGAGCCAGCCACTCAGAGCGCAGGTAGCGCCACAGTCGGAAACTGTGTCCAAGGCTGATGCGCACACAGGGTGGAACGATGTTGTCCGAGAGCCCGGGGGAGTGACGGGGGTGGTTTTAAACCTCCAAGCTCTATTAGCAAAGAGGCCATGAAATTCGGCTGCTCCCCGCTTCTGAAGCAGAAGGGGGCAGACTGTGGCATGAGACAGTCACTTCTCTGCCTATCTGAAAAGCAGCACTTTGATTTCAACTGTCATTATGGGACAGCTTAGATGGGGCTCGTGGGGAATACAGAGGACTAATTAAAATCAAACACTAAGATTATCTCAGAGCCAAGGCACAGCATGGAGACCATCCACCTGCAACTGCAGAACGAGGGATGATGGATGGGGTGATGAATGAAACAAACACAGTGGAGGGGAATGGATGCCTACGACCCCCATCACACTGAGGACCAGACCCACTCTGGGCACCTTAGGAGGCCTGACACAGGGGCTATTCTCTAGGACTTGCATTTTAACATAAACAGGAAAAAATATCTGAGTAGAAAGACCTTTGAAATAGACAAGATTCTAAGCAGTGGTAGTTCCGGGTTCCTTGCATCTGCAGATTGCATGATTACTGCTAATCGAAGAAAATAAATTCACCCAGGAGAAAAGGAGAATGGACAAGGAATTCCGTCCAAACGACGGATATTGGGCCCCGCCTGGCCTGAAAGGTTTTGGTTTTCCATTTACTGGAATCGGATCACTCTGTTTTCTTTTCTTGGTTGCTCCTTGGGAGAGGCTCCAATGGGTGCCAGTGCTAGCTCAAGGTTGGCATCAAGCTCCTCTCCCCATGGCACTGAGCTACGGCAGGTCAGGGCACCTCCTTTTTCCCCAGGGAGCCAGAGCCCTGCTCTGCGGGTAGACGGGAGAAGGGCGGGGGCTGCGGCTTTCCCCAGGAGCCGGAGACAGAGGTCGCCAGCCAGGCCTTGGCCAAGTGGTGGGGAAGAACACATGGAGAAACATCCACTTACTTTTCATGTGGGTGGCAACAGACAGAAACAAATTTTCCATGGACTTATTAAATCCTTTAAACTGACCAAGTTCTTGTAACTAAAACAGAGACAGAAGGAAAGAGAATGAGCGTTATGTTCGATGACTCATGTTTGCCCCAGCAGCCTCCAGGCTGCCAACCCCCCACACTGGCCAGTGTGTGCCCGCATGCGGGGATGCGTGTGTCTGGGCGGGGGCTCTGGGGTGCCAGCGGGTGTGTGTGCATGCATATCTGCAGTGGAGAGGGCACCGTACTCTCACCAGTCCTCTGAGTTTTGACACCGCATTAAAGGAAGGGGCACCATCAAGGGGATGTTGACAAGATAACAAGGTCTTAGAAATAATGACCCTCATTTCCTGGCTCAAAGATGGCACCCAAGTAAATTCCTGCTTCTCTAATCACCTTTCTCTTATGACTCCACCCCAACTCCACATAGAGGGGATGCCAACACAGGGAGGATGCTGGTGACACAGGAGCTGATGGTGTGACCAGGCACAGGTGACCAGTCTGGAGCCAAGAGATAGTTCCACCTCCCAAAGCAGAAGAGAGAAGAAAAACGAAGAGAGCAACAGAAATGAGATCACTTCCCTCTGCAAGTCTCATCCATCCATCCATCTATCTATCCGTTCATCCATCCATCTATCCATCCGTCCATCCATCCATCCATCCATCCAGTAAATATGTCTTGAGCACATCGGTGCTCAAACAACTTTGGAGAACTTAAAATCTCAAGGGGAAAGTAGAGTAGGACTTTGAAAGTCACTCCTGGGGCTCACTTTGAAATTGGAAAAAGAATGTATATATTTCCTCCCTCTCACCAGCAGATGCGTAGAGCTTCCTTCATACAGATATGGTTACTCTCCTTCATTCATAGAATAATAATAATGAAAATAATCAAGACCGTAAGTTTTCACGGCACTTCACAGTTTTCAAGTACCAGCATAGACATTGTTTCATTAATTTCTCACACCAGCCAAGAGAGGCAAACCAGACAAGTAAACTTATTTCCACCCCTCAGGTGGAAACCCAGGTGACTCCCCCAAGATCACACGGCTAATTTCTTCAGACAGAAATGGCCTTGGTCTACTTTACATGAGTGCCTACAAACACTCAGAGATACACACATTTCCACAGGCACTCCCACTCTCACACACCTGTGAATCAACCTGCCCCCAGACACACTGCAGCCTATGCAGACCCCCGCATTCAAGGGCACAGAGCACAGTCAGGAAAGAGAGCCAATGAAACGACAGGAGTAAAGAGATGAGGATGTGGGCACAGGCGAGGACGTGGGGTGCAGAAGGTGAGTCAGTTGACAGTACAGATGGTCCTATGGCCCCCAAAGCATGGTGGAAGCACAGACAGTGGGCAGGGCCCAGCACTTCCCAAGCCGCAACGGGGCCTTCATTTCCTGCCTCGCTTCATGACCCACTCCAGCCACAGTCGGACCCCTTTGCCAGGAGGTTCTTGGGCCAACCTCTCGGGCCCCTTCTTCCTCTCTCTTTCTCCCACTCCCCCTTCCCTAGGGAAGCACACAGAACAGACACATTACCCTGCCAGGGCTGCCGCTGCACTGGCTTTCGCTGAGAGGAGGTGGGGTAGGAGGAACCACGGAAATTTTGCTGTGAGGAAGAATACAAGAATAAGAAGCAGGTTATGAACTGTGCAAGTGTTAGTCTTACAAATACACAAGATTCGTCATCACCCTATAATTCAAGCTCTCTGCCCTTTTTTTTTTTGACTTCCTCACTTTTTAGCAGAGGGTCCAGCAGCCCTGTTCAGATCTGCTCCTCCGCACGGGGCGTTATTTCCTGGTATCTGAATGTGGGAAATGAGCGTCACACAGTCTAATGTCTGTGCATCTCACTCCATCCATGTGTCCTAAAATAGCTGGGGTGCTGGGGCCCCAGACTTCACGCATGTGTTCTACACGGACTTGCGTGTTCTCTCGGTGGAAACCACACTAGCAGAAGTGCCACAAATGTTGTGGATATAAAAATCGACCATGAGAGGAATTCAAAGTTTGTGCTAAAAGAAGTGGGAAAAAATGAGGGAGTAAAAAATGAAAAAGCCCTGAGACTGGAAAAAATCTCATCATGGGCCAAAAAAATAGCTGCTGGTGGGGGGCTTTTGGTAAAACTTGAATAAATTCAGTATAATCAGGTGTGTGAATTATTGCCAGCTTCAAGACTGCTGGGTGTTTAGAATTTTGTGTAAAGTGAACATCTTTCAGGCTCTTATTCAATTCCACCAATGTTTAATCCACAAATGTCTCTAAGGTGTCAAGCACTGGGCAAGACGTTGGAGAGATGAATGATTCATAAAAGCAAATGTGTGGTTTAGAATTTCCTTTAACGTGCCCTCAAAAAGAATATTTAGTTTCCTGACAATATTTCAGGAGAATTTTAGAAACAAAACAGGGGCCAGCCTGGCGGCATCATGGTTAAGTTTGCACACTCCACTTCAGTGGCCCAGGGTTCACGGGTTTGGATCCCGGGCATGGACCTACACATCGCTCATCAAGCCATGCTGTAGCAGCGTCCCACATACAAAATAGAGGAAGATTGGCACAGACGCTAGCTCAGGGACAGTCTTCCTCACCAAAAAAAAGAAACAAAACAAAACGTTTAGTGAGAAAATATTATGCCAGCTCCTAGGAGGCTTTTCATAAGAATCTGGAAACATCTCTGTTTCAATCTTTTCCAGGCACTTTATCATTAAAAAAAAAAAATGACATTCCAAAGCAGCAATGTCTGAAAGTCAGAGATCTATAAGCTCTTTTCAGCATGTCCTTTGTGCTCCAGTGCCCGAGAGCCCAGGACGATCCGTCCTTTCACAATGCTCACCTCAGTTTCTGATAAGATTGCAAGAGCTTTGCTCCAGCTGTCTCGCGTTTGCCTGGAAGAGATATCAATAAAGGTCACTTATTAGCAAGAATATAACTTAGATGATGCGAATACAGGAAGTAATAGATTATTATTTTTCTAATTTCTTGCGATTTAAAAATAAGAGACCATTTTGGGGTGCTAGAAATGCTCTTAAGTTAGACTGTGGTGACGGTTGCACAAGTCTGTAAATTTACTCAAAATCATCAAATTGTACAATTAAAATAGGTGAATTTTATGTTCTATAAATTATATTCCAGTGAAGCTATTGTTAAATACACACACACACAGTAAGAGACCATAATTGCTGGAAATGACTATTTTTATTAAAAGTCGATGTTGGATTAGATTTTTAAAATCTAGATAATTTGAAAAATAGTTCAAGTTTTTAAGCTTCCATTTGTCCTTTGGAAATATTTCATAATTAGATGACTATATTCTGTTAAATGTTCCTTGTTATGGAGATTAAAGTAATCTTTAAAAAAATGTAATCTACTTATTTCTCGTTGTAGAAGCTAATAATTTCCTAAATAAGACTGCATCTGAGATAGTACTCTTTTTGTTTCAAGGAAAGGGGATTTTATGATGCATTAAGATCCCAAAATAGAACTCAACTTGTCCATAGTTCTGTGAACACAATGTTTCCTGGCCCAGTGCACAGGGAGAGGTCAGCCTGCCCAGCCCAGAGGCTGGAAGGCCACTCTCCTGCTCAGGGGGGTTCCCCAGAGGGCCCCACGCTGTCCATCACGCAGGGAGAACCACAGACCTGCCATCCTAGGAGGCCCATCTAGTTCCTGTCTTGTGTGTTCATGCCAAAGACAGACCTGTGTATTTGCATCATCTCCGTAAAACCCAAGGAAGGCAGAGAGAGTAAGAAAATCGGGATGGGCAGGGAGGCCTTTGGGAGGAGGGTGAATGACTCTGATTATCAAGCCCCAAACCTTAAAGCCGAAAGCAGCTAACCCTTCTGTGACCCCGAGCTGTGCAGCCCCAGCGCAGTTCCTTACCCGGGGCTGGCCTCAGGGAGCCAGAGCCCTGACATCACATCTCCAATTCTGAGTCTACCTGCCGTGTGCATTTTTCTGGGGTTCCTGATGGTGTTTACCGGATTATAAAAGGAGTCAGGGAGCCCTCCCCCTCCCTCATTAAGAAAGATTTCTCTAAGACAGAACAGAAAGGCCTCCCGCAAAGACTGGTAGAACCAGCCGGTGATGGTGAAATCCCACATCTGCACGAACCACCGGAAAGAAGCGGGGGCTAGGCCCGCGGCAAAAAGAGCACCACCCCACTGCACCACGGTCCTCGGGAAAGCAGAGGAAAACAAGGGAAAGAGAAAGAAAAAATAGCCACACTGTTTATCCAGCCCGTCCTGGGCGGAAACGCAGAGCCCAAGGGACCGTGCATTCCGAGCCCTCTGGTGGGTTGGGCTGTTTCACAGGGACCGTGGCCGCTCCACCCCCTCCCCGCTGCCCCGCCTTCTTCTGCCCCTCATCCCCTTGCCCCCCGGATCATTGCAACACTGTCCCCAAGGCACAGCCACCAGAGTTACACTCCCTCCCCCAAATGTGATGCTACCCCTCCACCGCCTGAAGCCCTCAGTGACTCCCTGTTGCCTTCGCCTCAAGTCCAAGCCCCATGCGGCATCCCTGGGCCTCCACACCCCGCCTGGGCTCACCTCTCCAGCCCCTTTCCCACGACCTGCGGGCCACGACCTTTCTGCTCCAGCGACACCCAGTAGCTTCCTATTGCTCTACTTACCCTGGGCGTTGTCTCCTTACTCCCACTTACCCCCCACCCCACCTCCTCGTGCTAAGTGCCCAGGCATTTCTACCTTACACCCCCCATCTCCATCCTAAAACCTCAGCCAGTCCCCGTCCGTCGCATTTCACTTTTCTAAATACCCCTCCTGAGGTCCCGGGACCGCCCGGCCCGCAAACGGCTCTCTGCTGCCCCCTGCTGGCTGTCGCAACACGCGGCCCGGCCGGCAGCTCTACGGGGTCAAACAACCCTTTCTGTAAAGGTCAAATAGTAAACATTTTGGCTCCATACGGTCTCTGTCCCAAGTACTCAACTCTGCCCTTGTGACAGCACCCACAGACAATGTTGAAGAGTGGGCGTGTCCGTGTTCCGATAAAACTTGATGGACACGGAAATTTGAATTTCGTATCCTTTTTATGTGTCACAAATATTATTCTTTTGACTTTTTTGACCACTTAAAAATGTAAGACCCATTCTTAGCTCATGGAACATACAAAAACACGCAGAGGGACAGGTTTGGCCCGAGGGTCCTAGGTGGCCTCATGTCCGTGCTACTCCAGGGGTGGGCAGTGACTCTCAGCAGTGGCACCAGCTGGGGGCTTGTCAGCAATGCAGAGTCCCAGGCCCAATCCCAGCCCTGCAGACTCGCCACCTGCTCACTGAAGTCTGAGAAGCCCTGCCCTGGGAGTCTGTCCAATGCCTTGTTTATTTCCATTTTCCTTTCCTTTCCTTTTCCATTTCATCAGGTGTCATCCCAATTTCATAAATGAAAACCGAGGCTCAGAGATATTGCATAACCGGCCCCAAGTCACAAAGTTCACAAATGACAAAGCTGGCTTTTGCACCACAACTTGCTCCAAAGTCGTGCACAAATAAGGTAGGCCAGGATGGGTGAAAAGAGAAAATGGGGGTAACCGATGGGTGACAGGTACGTGGGGGAGGGGGGTACCGTTCTCTCTGCTTTTGCTCATGTTTGAAAATTTTCATAATTAAAAGCAAGGAGGAAAAACAACCATGTCTACACCAAGAACTAGGTTCTTGAAAGCCCTGTAAAGATTTCTTAATTTTATAAATTTTTTTTCCTGTTTGTCGTGTGTATCTTATTCCACTTAAATCTTCCAGAAATAAGGCCTGTGCGTGTGTGTTTGAGGCACCCAGCCTTGGGCGTGAGGGCCTCAGGGAGACAGGGGCAGGCAGTGAGTGGGCTGACAGCCCCTCCATCCCCTGCATCCCCCTGCCTGGGCTCAGCTCCCCTCCCTGCTCCGAGCCCCGCCTCATCTCCCTCCTCCAGACACCCTCCAGAGCAGCTCAGCTCCCCTCCCTCCTTTGCTTGCAACTCGCTGCCTATGTGGATGCAAATGACACTCCCTCGATGCCGCCCCTGAAAAGATATGCTGGAGTCCTAACCCCCAGCACATGCGAATGTGACCTTACGTGGAGATAGAGTCTTTGCAGATCAAGTTCAGGCAAGGTCATTAGGGTGAGTCCTAATCCAATGTGACTGATGTCCTTATAAAAAGGGAAAATTTGGACACAGAGGCAAGACGATGTGAAGATGAACATGTGACAACAGAGGCAGAGACTGGAGTGAAGTGTCAACAAGCCACGGACCACCAAGAATTGCCGAGAACACCAGAAGCTGGAAGAGGCAGGGAAAGATTCTCCCCTAGAAGCGTGGCCCCTCTGACACCTTGATTTTGGACTTCCAGCCTCCAGAACTGTGAGACACACATTTCTGCTGTGTGAAGCCACCCAGTTTGCAGGATGTTGTCACAGCAGCCCAAGGAAACTACTACAGGGGTCCACTGTGGTTTAGTCCCCACCTACTGCTCCAGTGTCATCTTCTTCTTTTTTTTTCTCCTGAGGAAGATCAGCCCTGAGCTAACATCCATGCTAATCCTCCTCTTTTTTTTTTTTTTTTGCTGAGGAAGACCGGCTCTGAGCTAACATCTATTGCCAATCCTCCTCCTTTTTATCCCCAAAGCCCCAGTAGATAGTTGTATGTCATAGCTGCACATCCTTCTAGTTGCTGTATGTGGGACGCGGCCTCAGCACGGCTGGAGAAGCGGTGCGTCGGTGCCCGCCCAGGATCCGAACCCGGGCCGCCAGCAGCGGAGCGCACGCACTTAACCGCTAAGCCACAGGGCCGGCCCCATCCAGTGTCATCTTCTGCCACCCCCGTCCTATTCGTAGGTCATGGTCGAGCTGAACTTCCCAGATGCCCACGCCCACTAGACTCTGCTTCTTCTGTATTCCTTGGTCACGTGCCTTCATGCCCCTTCTAGTGGTTCATTCTCGGGGATTCTGCACCCATCCTCACCAGGCTGGTGTCTGTGTGGAAGCCTGACTGCTCTGTAAAAACCTGCATACATGTCTGTCTCTCCCTCTGGACGGCGAACCTTGGAGGACACTGGCCTCATCTTACGCATCTCAGTGTCTCCAGCACCCAGCAGAGGGCTTGCCATGCAGAGGTGGTGGTTATCAATACAACAACAATAGCAACCAACGCTATTTTAACAATAACAATAAGCATTACCTCATTTGAGCCACACAACCAAGTATGTCAGAAAACAAGGTCATCGTTTTTTCACGCTTAGCTTACATGTAATTTCATCCATTCATTCACATTAATTGTTATAATACACACGGCACTTCACAGAGCTAAGAATAAGAGGACACAACCTCTGCTCATAAGCAGGAGCTTATGGTGCTGTAAGGATTCACACAAACTACAAAACAGAGCTGTGGTTTCTAGATCAACCAATCCTGTGATTGGCACACAGGTCTGTGGCAAGTCATTATATATCTACCTATCTACTTCTCAATCTGAAAAAAACACGCATAAGACAGCTTACTTTAGGTGCTCATAAAAATTCCTGTAGAGTGGAAGCCCATCTTGAGTGGGGCTCCACTGTGACGCCAACCTACCAACGCCCTGGACCACAGGTCCTGCAGCAGATGCCACGCCCTGCTCCCCCAGCTGCTCTCTGGGGTGACACAGTTCACGGAAGGAGGGCACAGGGCAGACTCCTTGGAATGCCCCACTGCAAGTCAGTCAACCAGCCAAACCACGTTATAGGCGGCTGAAGGGCCTCCCGTCCTGGACTGTGGGTTCTGTGTGGGCTAGTGTTCTTCCAAGATGTGATCATTGACTTCCCCTCCTACACTGTGAGGCCCCACAGCAGCCTTTCGTCAGGAAAGTCACACATCCCCTACAGCCGTGTGGGTCCAGCTGTGGAGCTGACAGGGCCGTCA